ATTTTATGGTAATAAAGTTAATGATTGGCCATTTTTAAGTTATTGAAATTTTAAGCTATTGAAATTTCCTTATATATACTTCATTTTGGTTGTTTTCGACCACTTAGCCGATCTGTGCTGAAGTGCCGCCAAGCTTCAGCCTGGACAACATAGGAAAATCTGATAATGTGACGTCACAAGAGTGCTGTTAGTTAACATTAAAAGTAACGGGACTGCTCTTTGCGCAACCTACTGTGTCTTTTAACAGTGGAACATTATTACCCTAATACTATTAATTATTATTTTTCAGTCTAATACTCATATATGTGCGCCTGGTATTTACTAAAAATAACTGTAGAAGTTCTCGAAGTACATTATTTTGTTAAATAACATTTTTCTTTCTCATTTTGCGACTTATTTCTGTTCGCCTGGTACTTCGGAAAAAACCCGTTCAAGTTTTGGCCTCAACGGCCACAGCAACAGCCTCCCTAAGCTATGCAACTATATTTTGTATGCAGCACATTTTTTTACCGTTGACTTTTGAATATGAAATCCCAGAAAAGAAACCCGAATAGACTATTTTATATATATATATCATATTTTCGTAAATGAAACGCAACGTATTCAAATAGGCTTTAGTTTATTTTTTATGTATATATATATTTGTTTTTTAAAATTTGTTTGTTCTTTAGATTTGCATTTGTTTAAATATTATTCATGCTTGATTTGAAATATTTTCAAAACAATGATCCTCACATATATCATTTAAATTGTTTTTGGTAGCGCAGCTCTTTTACATAATTTTATCCACATAATTATATATATTCAATAAATTATTTTAGTTTATGTTTTTAACTCTTTGTCGTTAGCGACTTAGTTCTAGGAAGGGCGGCACAGGGACTTCAAAATATACAATTTGATGCTGTTCTCTTTATTTTCTTCGAATGGATTTTGTTTCCATTTTCTTTTAGTATTAATTTTTCATCTGCCGTTTGCTTAGCGTGCACATTTTTCTAGATGTTCTAATTCTAAAAACTGGAATATTTTACTTCTGTTAAATTGTTGTTTGATTCTTAGAGGGGCTTTAGCACAGTTATTGTATGGTACAATTGATAAAAAGGTGTTTTCCTTGTGTGTGTGAAGGTGAGCTAAGTATAAAGCTGTTTGGCAAACTCTGCCCATAGATAGATATTCGCTTCGGTTTTTTTTTTTTTTTTTTTTTTTTTTTTTTTTTTTTTTTTTTTTTTTTGGGAGTTGTTGCTTTGAACAATAAATTGCATAGTTTTTGATTTTTTATTTTCCTTCGTTATTCATTTAGCGTTTTGTTTGTCTTTTAGGCGCAATCTTTAGAATTAATTTACATTCACATACAAGTATGCATATAATATCTATATAAATTGTGTTTTCCTTTCTCTTCGTTCTTTTTTATGGTTAATTACAGTGAGATTAATTCAAAACTTGCTTTAAAAACTACAATAATATAAATAATTCATTATTTATAATATTAGATCATCATCTATTGTACTGTGTAATTGTAAATAAATATAATTAGAGGGTCTTTTATGGTTAATTACAGTATAGCTCCTTGAACGGCTTCCAACTATACATATAGACGTACATACATATATATAGTTCCAGTTGAAATCACAGTTGAAATCATAGATAGAAAATAAAATATTGGATTTACAGAGTTACGAGAAGTTTCTATATAGCACAAAAGGAACTTGACGACTAAAGAAATTAATTAGCATAGAATTTGATTAGTTGAACTCCTAAAACTGAATCTAAATCAAAATCAGTTGACTTCACATTCACATTCACATTTACATTTACATAATAAAGTAATCCAGAAATCAATTATTCGATTATCAAACAGCGTGGCAAATGCTCTTTCAAGTAGTCGAACAATTCATGCGAGGCCCCCGGACAATTGGTCAGCTCCAGTTCCTGCAGGTGACGCAACTGGATGAGGCTGGACAGCCCGGACGAGGTCAGCAGCGGGCAGCCGGCCAGCGACAGCACCTGCAGATTTCGCATCGAGCACAGGTGCTGCAGCCCAAAGTCTCGCACCTGCGAGCACCAGCGCAGAAAGAGGGCCGTCAGCGATAGCATCGTCGAGATATAGCCGACACCTATATCTGTTATGTGAACGCATCTGGAATAGAGAGAGAGAGAGAGGGAGAGCAATATTATAAATATGTATGCTTGGTATACTAGTGAGAATAATATGCCTGACAAGTAGATACCCTAAATTAGGTGGCGTGCCATTGAATATTGAAATATTTTCTTTTTAGGTAGGGTATCAGAGAGTATCTGAAATTGTTAGTAACACAAAATTAACGAATATTCAGAAAGACAAGGTAGATCGACTTGGTTAATCCATTTAAAGACTCTACGCTTTATAGGGTATCAGCCACGCTTTGCATAACCTTTACCCTGCTCAAGATTGATTAAATGACTGTAGCAAATAGCAACTAAATATTTTTCATGTTTGTATTAGTTCATATTTCTAATTATTTAAGCAGCTAAATTGTTTTACTTTCGACAGGTAAAAACCCTTTTAGAAATAACAAATTAAATAAACTTTGCTGCTGAGAGAGAGGAAGAGAGAGAGAGAGAGGAGGAGCAGCCGCAGCAGCAGTGAAAGTGCAGTAGGAAATTGAATTTAACTCTTGAATAATTGCAAGGGGCTGCAGCGCACAGGTAAATTGTGCGCACCTGTGCTGGCTGTGGGTGGCTAGGTGGCTAGGTGGCTGGGTGGCTGGCACTACTGACACTACTCACCTGTCCAAAGTCAATTCCTCCAGCTGGTTCAGATCACAGGCGATATACTCGAGCGAGGCGTCCGTGATGCGGGGACACCAGGACAGGTCCAGGGCGCGCAGCTTCTGCAGATTCTCGGCAATCAGCTCGACGCCATCGTCGGTGAGTTTGCTGCAGCCGGACAGGCTGAGCACGGTCAGGTGCGGCAAGGAGTGCACTGCAAGCGGAAGATATAACAAAAACTTTACATTAACTTTAGGTGGAAACTAAGGCGCAAAAGTTTATGTAGCAACAGTAGCAGTGGCAGAAGCAGCAGGAGCAGCAGGAGTAGCAACAGCAGCCGCAGCAGCAGCAGTAACCCGCATCAGTAAGCTGCTGCAGCTGCTCCAGTTGCCCTTGCTGCATGTCCTGCTGTCCTTGCCAGATGCCACAGCTGTCTTGGCTTAGACTCATAGTTTATTTAGCATGTAATTCAAAAGGAAATTAGTTTCATTTCAACTCAAATATTTCGCAAGTATTTATATAACTTGAGCTTGCCCTTGCACTTGTTGGCTATCTAAGCCATTTGCACTTCACAAAGAGGACTTTTGTCTACGAAATTTAATTAAATTTATTAACTATTAATGGCGCTACATATATTCTAGTTCAGGCTTTCAAGTTCCTATAATTATTCGGAGTAGAAGAGGAAAGTATTTTTAGGGAATATTTAAAGACATGTACATATCTCACGAAGATACATACTTTCAATAATTTAATATCAAAGACTTCTGCTCTCTATTTAATTGTTAAAAAAGAAAACCCCTAAACTTATTAAATAAACTCTTGCCTCTGACACATGTAGCTGAAGTGCTTTTGCCTCGGCCTTTGTGTTTCGCCTGAAAGCTAATTGAATCTGTGGAATAATTGAGTTTTGTGGCAATATGTGAAAGCGTTTGCATAGATTCAATTTGGTCAACATTAATTTGCAGCTGCTGCTGTTGCTGCTCCAGAAGTATCTATGATTATGTAAAAGTATCTCACAGATTCATTTGCCAGCTACAAGTTCGCTGCATCTGTTTCAGCTGGCTCTGCTGCCTGAATGCGAATCGTGGACCTGGCCAGCGGCTGCTGACAATGACAACTTTGTTCTAGTTGCGTCAGCCACAGTTCAGCTTAGTTTTGTGCCACATTTCATGTGCCACATTTTGTGTCTTCTTTTGCTATTTGCTATTTGCCATTCGCTATTTGAGTTGCAAACAGTTTTTCATCTTTGCTGCTGTTTGTCTCTTCTTCTAAGTAAATGTCTTTATTTTAGTTGGCATTTTATGTTTGAAATTGGGAGCAGCTGAAGATTGTGTAACGAAATTTTAGAAATTTTAGTTAAAGTGGGTTGAAATGTTTGATGAAACACTTTGTCAGAGACAGGAGTATTAAAAGCAATGTCAAATTGTGTATTATTTAATATTTTAAAAATCATTTTTAGCAATAAATGTAATTTCTATTCTCAGGAGAAGTTTTTAAATAGCCTTCAATAAGAGTTGACATTAGTAATCATTTGAATGAAAATAGTAAAAGACAATGCTTGAATATTATTTCAGCAGTTTATGAAAAAATTAAATATTTAGTATGATTTCTGTATGAAATATAGATACAAATATAAATATAAATAGAAAATTTATTTTCTGTTGGACTTAAGCGGCATTCGATTTTTGATTGATTAATTTAAAAGCCTCTTTTAATTTCGTTTATTGTGCTTTAGCTTGAAAATCAAGTTATTAAATCAATATACCGTGAACCTTAACTAAACAGAACTCTAACTGAAGAATTCAACTTTATTTAACCGAATTGTATATAATAAAAATGATGTACCAAAAATTAGGCAGAATACTTAAATTTTAAATTTGTTTTAAGTGGAATTTAAGAACATGTATATAATAATAAAATAGTTTAATTTTTTATAAAGAAAAGTTTCGCCCAAAGTAAATCTCACATCTGAAATTCTCTGTATAAAATACATTGAAGAAATCAAAACTTTAGCAATCATTGACTTTTATCATTTAGACTTTTAAGTTTTTCTTCAGATATATTTAATTCCAGGCTTATGAAGTAGCGGAATGCAGAGCATTAAAGGTCGCGGCATTTGCACTCAAATTGCCCAAGATTCAGATTAAGCCCACAACTTTGTGACTTTCACGTCCGTGTCGTAAGCAAATGAGAGTCCTAAAGGGTTGTCTGGCCAACCGATAAAAGGAGAAGGGCCAGCAGGTGAGCGGAGAGGGCGGAGGGGCGTAGAACCCACAGAGTCTACAGCAGACGGCTACAATTACCGTTCTTAAGCGGCTTAAGAGCAGCGCAGCGCACAAAGGCAACTTTGCCAATGAGCATAAAGCGGGAGTCGACCTGGGCGTTGCTTTGGCCACGTGCCTCGGTTTTCATGTGCGGCGGCTGCATAAACAAAGATAAGCATAAAACAGAGAGAGGGGGAGAGAGTGGGAGAGATAACGTCACAGAGCGAGAGAGAGAGTAGAGAGGGGTGAGGCAGCTGTCTTACAGGAGTGCAGGCATGTAAGAATTTTCATCGCGTCTGCTGCACTCGAGGATGAAGTCCAAAAGTGCAGTGGAAAAGTGTAGCTAAGCGGCTTTTCACTCGACTTCTAAATAACGGCAACTGGGGGCATGCATTCAAGTCAATGATAAACTATGCCCCACTTTACCAGCCACCAGATACGGATTCAACTCAAAGCGACTCGACTCRACTCGACTCTACTGGAAAATGCATCGTTTGTTTGGCTTCTGACCAAAAAAACCACAAGGTGCTTGCGTACAAAGAGGGATTTGAATTACTAGTATATGAATTACTATATGAATATTCAAACTGTAAACGAAGCATGCGGAATATATATATAGAGAGAGATGGAGATAGCGGGAGAAGTAGATATATGTAGATATATACACACAGATATAAATTGTTAGATATATGGATAGATGATAAATAAAATTTATTTTTGGTATATTTTATATACAATTTTATACCACGTTCAGCTCGGTATACATATATAATACCATCTAGCTATCTGGATAGACATACAGATGGATACATAAATATATATATGGATAGATGGATAGATAGATAGATAGAAAGATACAAATAGAAATACATACAGATAGATAGATATATAAGTATTAGGATAGCTATATAAATAAAAAATATATAAAAAAGAAACAGATGTTAAAAAAAACATACAAAAATTGTAATTGTCAAAGCATTGATCAAATATATAAGAAGAAAAGCTATAAATGAAATATTAATAAATAAATATATGTATAAGAAAAATTGGCAAAGCAACCGCCAACATTTATTCATGATAGTTGGAAAGCCAAAGTATTTTGTGTTCTGAGCTCCTTGGGATTTCCTAAGTGGCAAATACCTATTAACAGACAGAAAATCGATAAGAACTTGAGCTGGCGGCCAATGGGAGTTCGAATGTGTTCGAATATTTTTATAAATAGGCAACGGCGATGCTAACTGTAATTGTATCCATATGCGTTTGCGGCTTAAGTGCCCTGAAAACGGGCAGAACTTCAAAGTTAAGAAAACCGCAAACAAATAGAAAAATAAGAAAATAAAATCAGAAGCTGAATAGGAAAAAGAAGAAAAAATTGTCAATAACAAAGGCCTGCAAACATGTGAGAAGTTTAGATGAATGCTGAGCGTCTCATGCATATGAGGAGATGCTCCAAGCGACAGAGATAGACAGCACAGATACAGATGCAAATGCAAATCGAGAGACACAGATACAGATACAGATGCAGATGCAGATAGAGATAGAGATACAAATACAGCTGCAATTGCATTAGATTGTTTTTATAGCGACGATTAAGCGCCAGAGCCAGCAGACCATAGCGATCGAGGCAGCAGAGAGAGGGAGAGAGAGCAAAAGAGATAGAGGGAGAGCGAGCATCGATTGAATTACAAACTAAATCAATGCATTCGCATTAGAAGCCTTAAAATGCGAGATTTCTCTCAGATTCGCGCGTATTTATCGCGGCTGTAATCGCAAGCTGAAACTCATTTCATTATCAGCTGCACACTGAGACGCAACGAGCACGGCGCCAGCTTAAGCGAGAAATCAAAGAATGTAGAATATATACTATATATACACATATATGTTTAGTGAATCTGTTGTCAAGTGTATCCTGTGTTGCAGTTTCGGTTTGTGACCGACACTAACGGGTAGTTGAGGCATCTCGTATTCGCTGTTTTATACTCGTTTTTGCGATCACAAATTCTGAAATTGCAACGAAACGCAACGAAAATGAAAAGTGCATTCCCAAAGAGAGGGCGCAGGGCGTTCAGGGCGAGGGCATCAACAAGAGTTGTGTGCTCCAGTGCGAAAAGTGTGAGATCTATTTGTACTATGATTGCTCGAAATCAGCTAGCCCTATTAAAGGGGTGGGCGAACCAGAGCAGAGAGACATTGGGAGTGTGAGAACGATAAATATATATGTATAGAGTGAGTATATATATTTTACATAAATAAGTACAATCATAATCTTAATCATTATTAGAAAAAAGCATCGTTAAAAAATGTGAACTAAAACAATTATAAGAAATATAGATTATATAAATAAATATATGTGTATACATATATATAAATAGATTATGGCGCCCTTCAGTTTTGCATTTGTCAATTCTTTGGAGCGATTCATTTTTCTATTTCAAGCGCATATTTAAAGCTCTCAGCAAAGCTTTTGAATTGATCCATTTGCGCTCAACTACACTAGCCTACATATTCATTGTTTTTTGAACTTTATGATCACATACAAATTTTTTGTGAAATTCTCATACTACTCAAGTACAAAATTATTAAAGATAATAAAAATAATTGAAATAGTATACAGAATTTATTTTATGCAGTCTAGTGTTGAGGACATTTAAACAAATTCTATGGTTAATTACATTTTATATGTGTATGATTCCACTTTATCGGACTTTTTATAAAATTATAATTTAAATTCAAGGCTTAGACCGAATTTATTTTATTTGCTGCTGCTGAAAGTGTGGAGCTACTTGATATGTAAATGGATATGTGCGCATGCTGAAAGATTACAAATACCTAGAAATAGTGTCATTTTCCACACATACACATACCCACATAGAACACCCACCCACCCACAGACACAAAAGTTGCTTGATAAGCTAACAATTTGTAACTCGTCTTTACTAGAAATACATTTGCCATTTGGAATCATTTGTGTGTGTGTGTGAGCGTGCGCGACTCGAATCCAATTTGATTTTGTGTCCATGTGTGTGTGTGTGTGTATGGGCCATATGCGAGTTTTTCGTATGACATTTACATTTATTTAAGCCTCTGCCTCTTATCTACTTTTAGGCGTCGAACTTTTAGATGTCAAACTGTCTGAGGCATTGAAGAAGTTACTCTGTCTGCTGCTGCTATTAGAATCAAAGGCAATATATAGATATTACATTTGTATAGATGTGTCATCCTTGACATTTGCTTAGCACAATTGTGAAATCATCCTATAGGCATGTCCAACTTTTAAATTTAGAAAAATATTTGTGAGAATGCAAAATCATGGAATAAACTCCAGTTTCTATTTAAAAAATTATTGCACAGAGGAATATGTCGATATTGCGAATAGATGTTTTTGTATAAGTAATAGTATATAAAATATATGTTCTGTATAGAATAGAATAGAATAGATTAGGATATGTGAATTCTTTTGCCAACTCTATCTCTCTCTTTCAGTCCTCTTGGCTGTTTAGCTTACTCTTTCTATTTCTCTCTTTCCCTTTCTCTTCCTCTCTGTATTCGACTCTTTCCTTCAGTTCATGTAATTAACTGCTTAAATAGATATAGCCAAATTTCTACTAAAATCATTTGCTGGGTATCTTCCAGTAAAACTACCTCAACCTCTACATTATTTGTTGCTTACGCTTTGTTTTCCGTTTGCCGTTTTCCGTTTCCAGGCAATGTGATTTGCTTCACCAAATTACCAAATATGACAAATCCAAGCCACACTCATATATTTCATGTTAAATGTTCGGCATGGGGCTCGTCTTTTTTTCATTTTTTGACAAACAGCTGAATTGCGCATTTTGACAACTGTTTTTTATGCCCTATTTATATGAGCATTTACAAAGTGGGTGGATATAGTAGAATAGTACAATAATATAATAACAATCGTACTATAGTAGCATTTATATATAATATATCAAATACTAAACGATTCGCATATTGATTATGTGATCTTAAATAGTTTTCTAATATATATTACTAGATTCGAGTTATATGACTTATCGATAAATTAATGTAAATGCTATAAATATATGAGCTATATGTATATACAGTCTATTTTTCATAAAGTGATTTTCTTCATTTTGATTACCTTGTGTTATATACAGGGTATATTTCATTCGACTAGCTCTAACAGATTTTTTATGTTTATTGATTTTTGTTGCTATTTTTCGACTTTTACACGAGACACAAGTTTGCATGTAAAAAGCTGCTTAGTAAAAGTACCAAACATTATTTGTAGCAGACGCACGCACACATCATACACACATACATATATATGGTCATATATATAAACATATCAGTATTATTGTAATAAATATATTTTTATGGCTCAGCAATTCCACAAACTGAGATGAGTTGTCTTAGTGACATAGTTGCTGAGGCAACAGATTGGAAAGGGTCGAGCTGTGGAGTCCCAGGATAGGTATGAGTCGAACATATAAGTTTGCCCTTGTCCCATAAGAATCATATCTCATATATGTATGAATCAAAACAATCAAAAATTCAATGGCAGTCTATCAACAATTTATTTCCTTATCCTCATTTCCCCTATTTGTAACCATAATTAAATTTGCAGCTTATGTAAATATGTATAATTAAATACTGCTAGATTAATAATTATAGCAGGGAGAGCGAGAGAGAGAGAGAGAGAGATAGAGAGGATGTGAAAGGAAGGAAGTGGAAGTGAATAGACGATGTTGGCATCATAATGAGCTATAACTAAGTCAAATAATGCTGCTGGCAATGCGTGAGCCTCATCAAGCCGAGGCTGATGACTTACGGAGGTGCGATAAGGCTTACGCAACACTCACGGTTGCGCAGGGGTCATGACCTCTGCTATTAGATGCTCGCAAGCAGAAAAGTGCTGTAAAATTCATTTAGCAACTGTTGTGCATGCCAAAGTATGCTCTCTCGCTCTCGCTCTCTCGCTCTCTCTCTCTCTTTCGCACTATATCTCTCTTCCTTCTTCCTTCCTTTCTTTAATTAAGTGTAAAATTGTGCAGCTGAGAGACGAATTTGGCAAATGATTTAATATTGAGCGAGGTAGGGCGTGGGGGGAGGGGCTTTCTTTGTTTTTGTCATTGTAAATTGCTCAACAATTGACAAATGAATTGCAAATCGTTGAAATTTAATTTTTGGCAAGCTGACAGCATTCGAAATGCAGTTTACAATTTCAATCAAAACAAATTATATGCTTTTGACAACTCTCACATAGACTAGGCTCGATTTGTGGGCATTCATGTGCTCTTGATGACCCAGTAACAAGCCCAACAATGTAAGCCTAACTATGGCAATTGTCATTCTTGGCAGCACTAGGCACTAGGTAAGGGCAGTCTGGAAATACACTAAGATTTTGTGGCATATCAAATGACAACTCTTTGTAAAAGTTGTAGACTTAAGGACAATTCGCATACCAAATTCGACCACTTTAATTCTTAGTCATAATCCTTTGCTATAAAGAATGATACATCATATTGTTTGATATATTAATATATTGTTTCAATTTGGTCTCTTTAAATTCTACGAACCTGTATGAAGGGCTGTCTTTGTCACTCTCTACCTCTCTCTCTTTCTCTTTCTCTTTCTCTCTCTCTACCTCTCTCAGGGAGTGAGAAGTTAAAATGAGGATGCTAACTAAAAATAGCTAAGACGAAAACTCAATTGGATAATGTTTTGATAATAAGTCTATCATATATATATATAACAATCTATAGTTAGCTTTTCTACAAGTTAGCTTATTTTAAGTTACACAGTATTAAGTTTATAAGGAATGTTCAGCATATATAATGTTAATCCCCATGTTATATGCTCGCTGTTTCCTTAAACCCTATTAGAAATGCTCTGAGTAAGTAAATACCTCCAGAGCCGTATTTCTCCAGTCTTTTATTATTATCATACACACATACATACACAGATACACATATATATTTTCATGCATTTATTCACTTTAAAAAATATTCACCTCAACTAAAGGTATTCAGTTAATTAATAACATTCAGATTCGTGTTCCAATTCAACTGTTCCTTTTACAATTTCATTCCTTTAGTCGCAACAAGCTTTATTCATATTTAAATTCTGTGCCATAAAGAATTTCCGTGAAAAGCGTTTTTTAAGTTTTCCTTTCAGTTGCCTCTGAATGAGGAGGAAACTAATGAGAATAAAAGCGAAATACGGAACTGGGTAAACAGCTTGCAGCTGCACGAGCACATAAACTGGAGCGAGAATGAGCAGACAATGAATTCGCAGACAAGGTAGTGCTGAAGCTGTGCAGCTGTAGTTGCCAATCGGTTGCCTGCACTCAAACATTCAAACACTCACACACTTACGCCCACACACTGACGCATGACCTGGAAAGTGAAGCGCGTGGAAAATGCGTCAAAAGGACACTCAGGACTAACGGGCTGACAGGACCTGAAAAGCGGATAGACAGCGGCGGGGTCCTGGGAGCCCCGGCTCGTGGGAACCGTTGAGCAAAGACTGTGAGGCTAAGCGTTTTAATGCATTTTTAATAAGAATGCCTGGTGCCTGATGCCTGATGCCACATCAAAGCCCAACCCCATGACAGCTATCCGCTCTCTACTCTCCACTCTAGAGTCTCCAGTGGAAGCCTCCACGAACTACAACTTTAATAAGCAGCACCCGGGAAGTATGTGCTTGAAATTTCAGCTGAGTTGCTATTCAAAATGCACTCTTTATATACAAACAATATGAATATGTAGGTTTTAATTTATGAACATTGTGTTTTAACTTTTAACTTTTAAGATTAAGCTCTTTAAAACTAGGGCTTTTAGCATTACTTAGGCAAACCATTTTGTTGGGATTTACCAAAAAAGAGCCATGGACTCAGGTAAGTTTTTGAAGTGTGTGTGAGTTGTGGAAATTAATTTTACAGCGTAAAGTTAGTTGTTTTAGTTAATAGTAGTAAGTCAAACCCTTTTATCGATCATGCATAACAAGTGAATTATTATCTATAGAAAATCCCTTAGGTCTCAGGCAACCTAGTATGACCTTTATTTATAGTTATGCAAAATGAAATAGTAATATGTTTCAATGTATTACTTTCTGTCTGATGTTATGTTAGGTGTGAGTCTCTGCTTTTTATTGTAAAAGTGTCTCAAATCAATATCCAATCAATTTAATAATAATAGATTACAAAACTTGGCTGACGAAACAACAGAATCTCAAATCTCAACTCTAGCATTTATGGAAACATCTTGATAAATCCACAATTCAGAATACAAATAAAATACAACGCCTTCACATACTAAATGAATGTATGATAAATGATGTCTGTATTTATAAATAAGACGTGGGTTTATATGTATACTAATAGAGTATACTGACTTTCTTGATTGCTCTGCGCACGTCACTTTATTCTCTGGAGTAATGCTCACAGCTAACGGTTAAGGTATATTATTTATACACTAGATATATTCTGTTTACTCCACATGTCTTATTTCTCATATGTGGACGTGGATTTAATGCTCAGACTCGTTTTCTTAGTGCATATATTAAATATTATGCTACACGCACTGCATTATCGCCATCTCTCTCTCTCTCTTTCTCCCTCTCTTCATCAGTTCAATTCAGACACAAGATTCATTCAGACTTATTCCACTTATTTACTGTTATAACATATATAATATATGGACAGATATATCTGCATTGTTTGTCCCCTCTCTCTGTCTCTATCTTGCTCTCTCTCTCTCTCTCTCTCTCAACTGCATTGTAGACTTTCGCTGTCCAGCTGCTGTTGCCACCGCCCACAAAATGGCCGCGCAGGACGTGACAGTTCGTTTGACTGCGGTTGACGTTGCGTAGGCACTGCCCAGATAGATAGTTGTTTTTCTGTCGTCCTTTGGTCTTTGAGTCCTGTTCGTCCTGCGCCTGTCACTGCTGACGTAATTGCCACTGTCGCTGGACTTTTTTAATAACGCCTATCGTTGTGGCGCAATCAGCGACGCCCATTAGCTGTACATCGACTACATAAATGTGTTGCATACTTTTAAGGGTCAGTGTGCCGTCACTTGCCTGCATATTCGTCTGTGTGAGTGTGTGTGCCTATCATTAAAATGCATTTAATTTTGAGTGCAGCTGCAGTCAAAGGCTGAGCACAGTTCAAGCAGCTGTTGACGTGCTTGAAATGCAGCTCAAGTTGAACTTTATGATTTATCCTGGCATGTCCTTCGACCCACCCACCCTGCCTCCGYCTGAACTGACTGCTCCTCCATCAGCTCCAGCTGCCATTTTCACTACCAAATCCCATTACATAAGCTTGCAATTACGAATTTACATTTACAAGTTTTTTTTTTTTTCATATTCCTTGCAGGCTTAACTTTGAACCAAGTTCAAGGCAAGGAAGTACCTATATATATGTATATATCTATAT